AAGTTTGTGACAGAATATTACGAATGTCATATTCGCTGAAAAATAAAAATTGTAGGACCTAAGTTTAGTGATTATTATTTACATAAAAACTTCTTCATGTCGTGACAGAAAGTTGTGTATTCTCTTTAGCATAAATTACTCTCACACGCTCTTAAGTTCATAATATTTAACAAATTATGGATAAACAAGTTTTACATGTCGAACCCTATAACGGTATCTGTTTTTAAAATTTACAGGAAACTTCGTATGAAATATTAGTAATGCTTGCCATACACTTTTCACGTTTTGTTCAGTTCAACAAATAATTGTTACCTTAATTTTAAACAAGTTATTGTCACCTCTGTCACATAATACAGAGTATTTTTTATTGTATTTTTTTTTAAAAAAATTCTCTGACCACACTGACGACCTGCATGTCAGGTTAAGTGTGATAAAACATAACCTCAAATATGTAGAAATAATCCAAATCAGTACAACGCTGTCATGTTACTCATATATACAATCATTTTCTCATTTCAACACACGCCAAAAATATGAAAAGGTCTTCATTTTATTTTATTTTTAATCTTTATTTCTACAAGTTGCCTCTGAATCTACATTCCCGTCCTATAAAACGTTATTACAAAGTTAAATCCAGTGACTTAAATATCTTTGGTAAACCATTAAATGAAATAAATCAAGATTATATTACACATGACAGGATACGTCGAAAACAAAACTAATTAAAAATAAATACCTCTGACTACTTATACTGTCCTTTGTATTTTAGAAATCAGTACTTGTCCAAGGCTGATTATTGTTGTTTAAACGAGACATTCGTGTCGTGAGGCTATTAAGCTCTCAAGATTAATATGCCATATTGATATATGTGTAACAGATCAAGGTATTAACCTCAGGAGCAAATCATTACAAAATATGTCGCGGAGCAAAGTTACATTTCGGACACATTGCACATTATTTATATTGTAAATTGTTTTAATTGAAAATGCATGTACAAAATTATGAAACCAATAGCAATATTAAACTCTTGCAGCTGAGAACTCGTCAGAGACAAAGACTTCGTGTGTACCGAAATTTTATTACCAGACGATGAATTGTTCGCCTTACAATGGCTACTAGAACACTGGATACTGGGTTCGACCCGTTCTTAAAGTGCCTGAGCACTGCGGGTCCCAACTTTTCGTTGGCTCGATCTATGGACATTCGGTAGGACTCCTTGGATGAGGGATCGGCCCGTCGCAAGGCCTCTACCTGTACACAGGGCAACACAACACAGAAAAAACATCCATGGATTGAGTGGGATTCGAACCCAGAAAATATTTTTGGCGGTGTATGATAAACAATACTTGCCACGGTGGTCTAGCGGTTAGAACGCTGGCCTTGTAATCCTGGGGTCTCGGGTTCGATTCCCGGCGGTGCCCGAATTTTTAACTTGTGTTGGGCAAGGCCGTGGCCTAGGCAACACGGAGTTTTCCTCATTGGCATCCCAACAATTACTCCATTCACACATAGAAGAAGGCAATGGCAAACCACTTTTGGATCATCTGCCAAGAACGTATATGAACAGGTCCCAGTCCGAGAAAAGGATGGAAGGATCCTGTTCATATGGACCTGTCGTCAGACAGAACACTAAATAAATAAATAATAATAGACAATATGGCATAAAACTGAATCAAATTATTTGTCTGTTTTTTAACAAGCGAAGATTAAAACTTTTAAAATGTAACTTGGACTCGTACTCTTTGGTGTTTTGTAGTAACCTAGAAATTGTGTGTTGCCATTAGATTGTGTGTAATTTAGATTACTTTGTAGCTGTGTTGTTGAGTATTGTGTTCATGTGGTGACTTTTCATGTGAATAGTGTATGACGTAGAACAAACGTACGTTTACTACATCAGATAACCTTTGCAATTACCTGTCTAGTCAAAGTGATCACGGTTTTCATAATCTACGTAAAAATCTCTAGAAGATTTTGTAACAGTGATGATGTTCCTAATTCGAAATGAAAATTAACACAGTGGTATTAATGATTTTATTTTTAAAATATGAAAGGTATTCGTCATTCATATAATTCCTTACGAAATTCAAATATAATTATATGTTTCTTGGAGTGAAATTATAGTAGTATTTAAAATTAGTGTTCTACTACAGTTGCACTACAAATTGCAACGAAATCGTTTCCTTTTACCTATGGTTCATGTATTACGATTCCAGTTTTGAGGAACTTTAAATTTACACGATATTCAGTATAAGCAGGAAACCTGCTTTACATTTTCATATTTATTTATAATAGTTTTTGAAGTAATATTACGAACATCACTTTGACTAGACGACACTGTCTTTTGTTACTCTCATAAAACAGATAGAAACAACAGCTCATTTTGGACAATAATTACATTTTAGCGGAGTTGGTTCTGATTGTAATTGAACAGAATTACAAAATAAACTAATCTCGTTTTAAAACGAGAATGGCATTCAGTATTCATTTCAACTGATTCATTGGTCACATAGTTAATTTTATATCAGGTTTATTTAACTAGTCATTTGTATATAGATGAAAGTTTCGAATGTTCAGGATGATTATTGTAATAATGAATGGGAAGGGATCTGGAAGATAGCGATTGTGGCCTAGTTTAGGCTATAATACCTAGGCATTTGAATCGAGGGACTTGGAAAAATCAGGAAAAATGTCACTCAGGTTAACGGTTTTGGGGTTCAGATTTGAAACCAGTGCTTCCCGAATACGAAACGCGAAACACAGTACCACCACTTTTGATATTTCATTAGATCGTTTCTTCGCCATTCTTTCCGTGTGTTAAATTCTAAATAAACGCAGTTAGGATCCGTTAGTTATGTTTATAATGTTATTTTTTATATTTGTTTTTAACTAACCTTAAAGCTCAGTAATCAGTATACCAACACAACAATGTGTATAACTTATTTTCAGCAACACAGAGGCATCTAGCTTAAATAAACGGAATTGTAATGACTACTGATATTTCTATGCTGAGCTTTCTGTTTTAGAACTAAGATTTTTATAATATTATTTTGAAAAAATATGTCTTTTGCATTTACTTGTCACTGGTACGAATTAATACATTTTCGTTAATGTGTGTTTTATGAAAATACATAGATTCCAACTAACTAAATAACATTTTAGCTCAGAATTAAGATTCTGTGTGGACTACATTATTGTTAATTATTGTCTGCTGCAACAATGATGCTGTTTGTTGTCTTTCTGAAGAGAAGTCGGAATAAATGAAAATGTAATCTCCAGTTCTATTGACTTGGTATACGAGGTCATAGGAATGAAATTTAAATATTCCCTTATGTGAATAATGAATGACTCAGTTAAAATTGTATGTATTCCGAAGACTTTAGTATTATATTCGCGTAAATGTGAGTAATTTATTATCTAACGTATTTAAAATATATTTTTACGAAAAAATAAAAAAATAAAAAATATGCGGTCGAATTAAGTCGATATTAAAAATTCGGAAATGTTAATTAAAAGTAAACCGGTTTTGTCTGATGGATATGTTTCTTGATATTTTTTTGTGCAGATGTCAGTCAAAAGAATTTGGATATTATTATTCTCCTTTCACTTATTCCGTCCATGTTACTGTAGAATAACACGATCTTTAAAGGATCTATACAGCATTTGAAAGTAATGTTTTTGTTGATTCCCTTCGTTAATAACTGTGTAGTATCTTCACTTGTGTTTAATTTTTATTTTATAAAGCATATTAACTTTAAAACACGCAATTTACACCCCTAGATATGCAGACGTCCTGAAAACATACGTCCATTTTAATTCCAGCTATGAAGGCAGTGACAAGATGGTGGTGTTCATTGACACGAAACAAACACTCATTTAAGAGCCGATATTGTGTTATTTTCTGCGTGTGTCATTTATAATTTTGTATGAAAAATGGCTTATTTTGAATCTTTTAAATGTATTAATGTGTTTTTGTTTTTTTTAAATTATGTGAAAACTAACTTCATTTACAAAACAATGGGCATTTACGTATTAAGTTTCAAAACTTACAGAATTAATATTTTTTTTGTGAATAGAATAATTTCAAGTGGGTTTTTTTTATTCGTTGAAAACATTATTACATTGGAGTGCCCTATCGCGTTATAGACACTGATAGACAAATAAGTTCTGTCTTGTTACACATTTCGTTAATTCTAATTGTTGTGAAAACTTGAATTTGGCCTGTGTCTATCTTAATTACTATTCTTAATTTTTTTATTTCCATTAAAATATTGATAATCAAAATTCGTCACAGCAGTAAATCAGTTTAAAAATTGTGATGTGTTGCACAATACAAAATTTGTTTCTTCTAGATTTTCTGTTGTGAAATGGAATGACGTATTTAATCATGGGCAATCAAATTGATATTCATTGATCCTTTAGAGTGTACATGGCTGCATTTTAAGCAAAAAAACACACAGACAATGCACACCGTAATACCCCAATGCACATGACAAGTTTCATTTTGATCCATGTTTAAGTGTAGCTATATAAATAAATATAAATGTAACACGTTGGGCATTGTACACGTCTGTGTAAACTTCCATGCGTAGTTCAACAATTACGTCGGCTATCATAAGCACTAGAACAATCTTGATCTGCAATAAATTGTTTCACGTTATTGTATCAGATGTATGTTCGGAAATTGTGTGTGGTTTTACACGTATTGTTACTTTACAATGGGCATGACCAATTTGTATAGCTATGCTTACGTGTGTATATCTAAACCACAGACGCTTTATTATAAGTTAGGTTATGTTGTTGCAGAAACCATGAGCTGACAGGAGACGGAGTTTGAATGATGTTTACCTTTTAGTGACTGCTGATGCTTATTTATTTTATTCATTTCTCTCCTCTAGCTAACATTCTTGTTTTCTCTGTCCTAATTACAGTAACCGTTGGCCGTTAATTTCACACTTTATCATATTTTGTGGAGAACTTGTTTGTTTTTTTGTTTTTTACAGTATTTTAGGAATGTACCTCTTTGGTGGTAAGTTTTGCATGCTGTCAGATGGATCCAGAGAGTGTAATTGTGACGAAATCGTCAATCGTCACCCGAAGTGCGTTTGTGATAGGAAACATTTTAACAATATTCTCTGGGCCACCGTCACGGTCTTCCAGGTAAGTCGCTGAATTTTACATTTTTATCTGCACAGATCGCCTAGATTATATAATCAATAGAAATTAAGTTGTATGTCGAGTACGTAATTATTTTATTCAAGAAGTAATAACCGATCTGTACAACATGTTGGTTATTTTATCAACTTAAATATAGTTTGTTTGTTTGTTTTTTTCTTTGAAATTTCAAAAATTTGTTAATTCGACTTTGTTCCGGACAAAATAACTTTTAAAATTTTACTAGAAGTAAATAATGTTTACTAAGTTTCGTTATATTGTGTTTCGTGCATGGAATAGATTGTTCCTCATTTTTATATGAGTCCAAATACTTTTATTTCTATAAGCAGCAAGGAATACTCTGCTCTTGTAGGACTGTGGACTGATTTTTTGTAACATGTTGTTATGCATTCGTAAAAAAAGGTATTACTCTCTTGAATTCATGTCAGGAGAATTTTGTGCAAGTCATAAATGATGTCATTTTTGTGTTTCCGAACAAAGAACAATTATTCGTGCAAAAATACTTGTTTCAAAAGCCGATACATAATAGTCCGAAAAGTATAATTTGTGTTAGTGACGTCAACTCTAGCAAGGAATGACAATACAGGATAGAATTGTTCTTGTACGTCTATATCTCAATAGGTTACAACTTGTCTCGAGATTTTCATTTGGCTTTAACAGTACTCTGCCTAAACAGTCAGTGTTGAAATGCAAACGCAAATTATTTTGAAATTAAATTGTCCCTTACAAAAGTGGAACAAATATAAAAAAATTTGTTTTCCTTGCATAAATTTCATAATAAAATAATGTAAATAAGCATGTTGGGATACAATTCCAATTAGAAATATTGTAAGTAACAATTGTTTTCCAGATGCTTCATAAATTTAAAATTCTTTACCTGATACATGTTGAAATACTTGATATTTCTGAACGTTCATTAGTCTGTTGTGTGATAATTATTCGTGTAGGCGTACTTTTTTTTTTGTAAATTCGATGTTCGTGATCAGCGAAGTCCACCTAAATGACCTTGACCGAATTTAAAAAAAAATTCTATGGTCACATCGTTTTACTTACGTGTAAATAAAATATCTTTATTTAACTTTTCGCCAATAAAATCATTCAGAACCCTGGCATATATAAACACTTTAAAAAATCGTCATAGTGTATTATCTGATACATGTAGAGAGAGAATGTTCATAATGCCATCCCATTTGCTGGCAAGAGAACAATTTTGAAATGTCTGAAGACAAAAATGATCAATTGTACTTTTAATAATTTTGAAATAATATTCATATTAAGCAAATTACCACATTTATTTAGCTGTCAATATAGTCGAAACAGGACCACGTTGTCATATTGATGGTGGTGCAAGTTTTTAAAAATTACATATAAAAATAAATGGTTTTCCATTTTGAGCGGGCCCTACACTGGAAAGAGGCTGATTCTAATATTATGTAATCTTTCTCCTATCATCTATTAACGATGTGCGGTGTTCCTGGAATATTTTATTTCGTAAAGTGACTGAGCAATGAAGGGATAATAGAATGGAAGTTTAGTCAGAGAACTCCAAACATATCTGTCCCTGTTTACCTCAGATTTTACACTGAAATCATTAATCGTACTGTTGGTACGTTAGCCCTGATGGACATTCTTTTAAATTCAAAAATACTTAAAAATGTAATTCTCATATACCGTATAGTGGATTTGATTAACGAAATGCGGAATGATATGGTCATTAATTATCGTGTTATAAATCGTCGAAAAGTTTTGTGTTGTTCTTTGTTTCACAACTCTCCGTAGCTACAGGTTTGAAACTACGTGGGTGTTTATTGTTAAGTCCTTCATTTTGTCTTTACTGCTTACCAATATCAACCTTAAATAATATCCAGTTGATACAAATAATTGAAATAATTTACTTGTCTCAAATTACATATAGGCTTTACTCAAATGTTATTTAAATTATTGAAAACTTATTTCACACAAAATAAAAAAATATTTAATTGATATAACAATTATCGTGGTATATTTGTACATGAGGAAGTAATTATTTTCAGCGTCATTTTAATTAGATAATAAATATTTAAAAGATCTTCTGTAATAATAAAATTAATTATAAACGAATACCAAGGCGAGGTGAACATCACAATCCTTCCTAGCAGATTGCTTCAACGCTTGTTCGTAAGAGATTAGCATACTAATCTGACCTACGGAATGTTATTACCGTCAGTTTTCATCCATTTTAAATTTAATTACCCTGGTTAGACACGTAACAATCAGTTAAATTAAATTATTAGACTTAAATTAGTAGCTTGCATTCAGTCAACACAGCTCCATCTGTTTAATTGGTACGGCAGTTGTTATTAAAATTTTAAATCTCCATTAAGTTCAGAAACAACTCGAATTGAATTAGAATGAGTCGATAAATCTGAACCTATTTTTGCATTTCAAAAACAATATAAACTTATATTTTATGTGAATTAGAGACATTCTGTACTTCGATAATTATCCCTTTTAAGCCCAATAGTAATTATATATACCCCCTGCTTCAACTTTAGTATTCATACTTTTGTGAGCTTCACGATGATGTATTCTGTATATCTACCAACTTTTCCAAGAATCCCCTCGCCATTGGACTGATTACATTTCTTGTAACAGTTTCTGTGTATTGCAAAAACCGATAACAAACGCGTGTTTAGACGAAAGCTCCTTCAAATACCCAGTTCCCTCTACACGAGATTGTATATAATAAAGATTAACCCTTTGAAGCTCGTCTAAATGTTTAAAAATTCAGTCCGTACCGCAAAGAAAACACAGCTCTTCACCATTACAAAGATTAGTTGGCTAATACTGTTCAAGGAAGTAATTCACGTTTACAGTGAGAATTATCTGAAACCTATAAATTAAAACTGCAGATTTATTTATTGTTAAATCCGGTGGTACATATAGTTACCACTAGGCTTTTAAGGGTTAATGATACCAACTAAATGGAGGAACACGAAACATAATATTGTGAGAATTTTTTCGATAAACTCTACTCTTGATTGAAGTAAACACTATTTTTATACCAGACACGAAACAGGATTTGAATACCCATCTCCTAGATATTCTAATATAGACATACATATCGCCTTGTCGATCGTAGATTAAACACAGGTCCCCTTCCATGTAACAGCCTTGCATCTAAAGTCATAGAAGACAGATGTCTATCAGACGACAATCAACTCTTTATTTTAATACAGAGTGCCCCGCAAGTACTGACCATAGAAGAACCATGTTATTTGGCAGAATATGTAAAAGAAATTCAAAGAGGGAGGCGTTATTGTAAATTATGTGTTTCTGATCTCAAGTGTTTGAATATTTTACCTGGGACAAGCCGTTAATGACATTACACTCTTTGCGTTACCAGTACGAGAAAGTTACTGTCACGTTGCCACCTGTAAATGACAGTGAAAGGGGAAACCGCAACGGCTCATCCTCAGTCAGAAATTCAGATTATAAACATGATTTTCAATAACTTTTCCATATTTTGCCACATAACAGAGTTTAATGGCTTTGGACGTAAGGGACATCTCTGATTTGCTACCACCATCTGACTAGAATATGTTGCTGACAGCATTAAAAAATACAGTTTATAATTTTGTGGTCATGTCGTAGAAGGTCATATCCAGACATCTGAAGACAATGTACAAAATGTGGCAGCTCTACAGGTTGCTTGTGATCTGTTTCCTAACAGATCCTAACCCAAGAAGATTGGAACGTCGTGCTGTTTAATGGAATGGAGAAGACGAGCCACTGGGCCGCGCTATACTTCGTGGCACTTATGACATTTGGTAACTACGTTCTCTTCAACCTTCTAGTTGCCATCTTGGTAGAAGGCTTCTCTTCAGAGGTATGTGATGAAGTTTGTCTAATTATCACAAAGTCACAGAATGTGAGACATTTTCTTTCTGACTGCCAGTCTCGCCATCGTGTCGTGCACATGATTTTACAAATGATGCTTCTGTGACTCGGTCATAGCAATTTAGACATTATATTTCATGTTTAAGAAATGCCACTAATCTTTGGCTACGTGTAAGTCTGTAAACTTGTTCCAGTAACTTAAATCGTGAGTGAACGATAGTTCCTGTGGAGATGTGCCACTACTCATTCAAAATCTGTAATTATCCTGACGCTAAGGAAAATGCAAATTTTTGTGACAGACTGATGGAAGACATAGGTGACATTAGCTGATATGTTTTACCCCCTTCCTCTCTCCCCTATCCCTGTACACATAAAAACAAACACTAGTGCCCTCAAGGAAAAGTGCACGCCATGCTCGGACAGGTTATGATCAACTAAACTGTGTTTGTGGTAAGACTGGTGAAAAAAAATATTCAAGTTTAATAAGTTGTTTTAAAACTGCAGTCTTTACTTCCACAAGCAAGTGTAATTTTAATTGCAATTATTTTTAGTGTGAATCTCCCTTGATATAAATAAAAAAGTCTGAGGCTCCCAGTTTACAAAAATGCCATAAAATATGATGTACCAATTCTAAATAATTCTTATCAGTGTGTCTTATGTTGTTTACCTATGAAATACTTTTCTATTAAATTGTATGTTTGTAATTGAATTAATATTGACTTATTGCTTTTTAATATTAGAAATAATTTCAGAATCTTTGTTTCTGGCTAATTTTACAGTGCCCCCCCCCCCAGAAAGAGCCTCACAACCCCCCAGGGAGTTGCAGCTCCAACTTTGGGTAACACTGTTCTAAACACAGTAAGAATTTTTACAAGGGAAATTCTTTCGTGTTTCAGCGAAATGAGCGCCGCGAACGGGAGCAGCGGGAGTTGGCAAAACAAGCGCAGCAGGCACACAAATGCGAGTACAGTGATCACTTTTCCAGCTTTGATGGATCAAGATCGAGTTCGAGTTCAGAATCCGACAGCTACACCGCAGGAACGCAGGTAGTCTCCTTACTTTTGCTGACTAACCAGTGCAAGTTTTTGGAAACTTTGAAACTCCTTCTGAGGTCCAAAACACTTTGAATTGTTCTGACCATCCACTTCTTGATCTTTGTATATCTCTTTCTTTCAAAGAAATGTATGTCAACTGTGTTATGCCGCATGCTTCCCGCTGTTTAGCTTGTGTGTTCATTTCTTTCATTTTCTATTTTTTGTGGTTTTGTTTTCATCTTAATTTTATATTCTGCCTCATAAAATGACTTCCGTTGGTCAACTGCCAAATCTCGTGTGTAATCTACGTTGTTCTTTTGCCTGCTTTGTTAATGTTTGTTAAAAATAAGCAGTGAAAGTTGACACAGACATCTAGAATTTGCATAATATTTATCTGTGCCATTTCATATTAGTATCAATTTTGGATCCAGTTTAGGCAATTTCTTTCTGAACATGACTTTGTGAACAGATTAATTCCCTTTTTATTTTCATAACAAGGAGGTATATAATCAGTTTTGTGTTACAGTTTCCCTATTTGTGTATTATCCATTTTCAGGAGCTGAAGAATAGATGGAGAAGTGCAGAAGAGTTGAGGAAAACTGACAATGGGCATTGTGAAAAGAACAGCTGGAAGCAGAAACAAGATCTGGATCGTGATTACGAGCCAAAGTGCAATATTCAGAAAGGTAAGGAACACACCTATAATTTAACTTGTTCTGCAAAAGAAATATATACAGGGTGGTCATAAATTATTCACCACATTTAAAACTTACATAAATCACAAAGTTTTAGGGATATCGTGAATCGGATTGCATCGTTGGAGAAGACAGCTGAAAAAGTTTCGTATTAGTTGATTGCCCGGCCGAACCAATTTTCTGTATCTCGTATACTCTGTGTTTTGTGTGTACTTGAATTGTGGTAAATAATTTATGACCATCCTGTATATTCATGTAAGCTGGTTTCACAAACTTGGCTCATTAACAAAAAGGACTTTACGTATCTGGTTTTATTCAGCTCAGAATAGGACTGTGTGACGGGTTGTTATTGATACATTAATGAACCTTCAGGTTCTGTAGAAGGCAGGGAATTTCTTGACTATTTGAGCACCTATCATATTCTGAAGGACGACTATCCTCCTTAAATTTAAAATGTTGCCAATGCCTTTGAGTTTTCTTAATTGATGGAACTAATTCAATTGAATTAAAAGTAAATTACAAATAATATACCCATATAATGCACTATTGGACACCAAAATTCAAATTCATCACATTTTATGATGTGACTCACACTCTGAAAAGAATACGTACCCCTGTGATTGACTGTTCTTATTGTACGGGTTGTTCAGAAATAAAAATTGCAAAAAAAAATATTTATTTTACAGAGCTGATAACATTGCAGTGAAGGATAGAAACCAGTTATATTATAAATGTTTAAATAGGACTGTCATTTATTAATCATGTCATATAAGAAATATGCATATTCCAGTCATTCTGTGTAGCGTATGAAGGAGAAAAGTGTGCGAAACACTGGTACGATCTGGAGTATCATCTTTAATTATTTGCAGAGAGCAAAATGCTGTGCCAGCAGCCTATAATCACGCACACTGTGGCAACTCCGCAGGATTCTCCCAACACAACTCTTGATTCCTCCATGAGGGACTTCAACAACCGCCTGATGGCTCCTGCACTCTATGCCAGCTCCACTTCCATAGATTCCATAGACCGCTCGATGGTAAGTAAGGCTTCGGTAAGTTCATCTTTAATAAATCCTTTTGAAAATACAAATTCTCTTGTTATAAATTAAATTAAATTTGTGTTGTTCTTTGACCTAACAGTCCTTTATCTTGAATGGTCATAATCTGTATCCATGCTCGTTAACTTTATTAGAAGTGCTTGGACCAATTCTCGAAGTCAGTCGTTTAATCTAGGGTTTTGTGGTTTT